ATTTAATACGTTTGAGTTTTTAAAATTGCAATTTTGTCTTAATAGGTTATGTTAAATACGAAAAAATTTAATATAATTGTTTATTTTCAAATTGCGTTTGTTTAACAAACGTTAGCGTTGATAAAAAGTTAATAAAATTAAAAGTATACTGTTTGTCAAATATCTAAACTGTTGTATTTATAAGTTTCTGAACAGAAATTTGCCGGTTTAAATTTATGTTTTCAATGCAGATCTATAAACCTAAATTTCTAAGTTCTATTTCTGTTTTTAATACAATTCTATAAATCAAGTCGTCAATTAAACCACAATTTAAACAACTGAGCTACAATTTAAATTATATCGTGTTTGGTTTTATTTTAATCAGAAAAATATAAAAAATTCACTTGGAAAAGTTTGATAATAAAAAAATCAAAAGTAAAACAGATTTATATTTGCATTCGTCTCACGAACATACCCGAATTGGGATCACGTAACATTTCTTGCCGAGGGAGCTTCATGGCGTCTCGAGTGATGGGGATAATCTTTGTTCATATCGGGATTTTACTGTACCATCAATAAGTAAATATACTGCAAATTATATCGTGTTTGGTTTCATTTTAATCAGAGAAATGGCAAAAATCTATTCGTAAAACTTTGACAACAACAAAATCAAATATAGAAGTTCTATATTTGCATTCGTATTATCTGACGAACATACCCGAAGTCGAATCACGTGACATTTCTCGCCGAGGGAGCTTCATGGCATCTCGAGTGGTGGAGACAACCTTTTGCTCATATCAAGACTTTACTGCATCATTAGTAAGTAAATATACCTCAAATTATATCGTGTTTGGTTTCATTTTAATCAGAAAAATGGCAAAAGTCTATTCATAAAAATTTGATAACGATAAAATCAAAGATCGAAGTTTTATATTTGCATTTGCATTGTCTCACGAATATACCCGAGCTCGGATTACGTGACATTTCTCGCCGAGGGAGCTTCCTCGAATAATGTGGATAACCTTTTTGCTTATCTCGAGTACATCATTCTTGCTTATATCGAGACTTTACTATACTACGCGTTCGGTATACTTTGAAAACAACCGGTTGGTATTTCTGCCGACGGGCTACTTGCGAGTTAGTGTTCGATTATGTTCCCCGAGGAGCAATCCACGAAACAGCTCTCGGTCGAGATGGCCGAAGTAGCTTGAACGACGGTTACCGCGCTCGTTTGCTCGCATTTAAATCGAGCAAAGCAGCGTCCTGTTGAAGTTTCTAGCTGCATGTGCTTTGGCCCGGTCATCGTTACACAGATACGAACAGTGCATCCATCCGGTCAAATTGAATTAACACTTCGGGGACCTCTTGAAAACCACCGGCCGTGACTTTCTCGATATACACGCGATCCTCTTTACCCCAGATTTCGGATTAGAAACGTCTCTATTTCGAGGATCATTTAAGATTCACCAGCGGAACGGATTTCGTCCAAAGACGAATCAGGATGTGGTTAAAACTTGATTGGATGCCTTAACACGCATTCGATGATTTTTCGCTTGGTTAATTATTGTTGCAACGCGTTAACGGTCTCGGACCCGATACTGTAATATTACACGAACCAGAGATAGGGCATGCACCTGTCGCTGTACGATCGAATATGTTAATTTCACTGAATGCACGTTTAATTTAGTTCTTGGGTCACAGTTCACCCTTCGTAAAACAAGTAAAACATATTTGTCGATTAACATTTAATTTATGTTAATTTAATTAATTTTTTATGAAAAGACTTTATTATTTCAGTTTAACATTTTGGGTGAATATTTAATTGTTTGTAATTGATGAATATAGTAGACATTTATAGTAACATTTGACAATTATAGTAGACATTTGATATTTTTAAATTTAATTTACATTTTAGGTTGATATTTCCTATTCTTAGATTTAACATTTTGCCATTTGATATTTTAAAATTTATTTAACATTTTATGTTAACAGTCGATATTTAAAAATTTAATTGATATTTTATATTTTAAAAATTATTTAACATTTCAAGTTAACACTCAATTTTTTAAAAATTGTATTTATTGCTTAGTTTCTCGTTAATTTAATTATCACTTTAACTTAACTTATTTAACTTCTTGAATATTTAATTGATGTTTTTAATTAACATACAGCTTATATAAATTTAATAAAAATTTTAAGTTGATATTTAGTGTTTTTAAATAAAATGAACGTTTAATTTTATTTGGATAAGATATATCTATAACCGTGGAACAGTAATAGAGGAAGCATCTTCAAAATACAAATAGCTCTCTAATGAAAAATTAAATTAGTTTCTCTAAGATTTACCTTGATGTTTATAAACATCAGAATGCCAGGTTAATTCAATTTCTGTCAATTCTACGGAACTATTTACGTACCTGAACTCAGCATCAAACTTAATAGGTCACAGTACTCCTCAAGCATTTCAGAAAATAAAAATTTAAAAGTATTACCGAGAGTTCATGACGCAATATTGAAACGGAGCTATTCATACCCTAAGAGAGCAAATATTTTCACCAGTTTCTCGTTTAATAAATTAGTTGACTTTTAAATGTGTCTAATGTTTTATTAAAAATTACACGACTGATATCGAATTTCATATTGTACTACTAATATAATTACTCAATTCAATTATAATTCACTCATAAATTTTCGTTCGATGTTACTCTTAATTTAACACTGTAAAGAAGAGTTTACTGTATTAATTTTATAGCAAAATTATTTTGAACACTTTCAGATCCAACTGTGTATTATTACACATCTAAGAGAGGCGATGTGTAATATTACATAATCGGGTCGGAAAATGTTAACAAAAATGCTTATTACATATTTGTTATATTTTTGTTAACGAAAATGTTAAATATCTACATTTATAAAAAACTGTGTTCTTATCTTTCATTAGTATTTTTTTATTATTATTTAGTATTATTTACATTTCCTTTTCGTATACATTTTTTTCCTCCAAAATACCTAACCTCAAAAGTTTCTTAATAATTTTTGTAATTAAACATAAATCTAAAATGCATTCTGACAAATTCCATAAACATAGTAATAATGAATAGGTATATTTAAATAGTAACTAAATTATAAAAATTAATAAGGTATACTATGTAAACTAGTTTATACAATAATTCTTAACTTCAATAAAGGTTAACACATATTTTCTATTTTTTCAAAATGCCTAACCTCAAAAACTTCGTAATAGTTTTCGTAATTGAAAGAAATCTAAAATTCGTTTTGAAAAATTCTATAAATCTAGTGATAGTGACCACGTATGTTTAAATTGTAATTAAATTATAAAAATAAATTAATAATGTATACTAGACTAGCTTATAGAATAATTCTTTACCTCAGTAAAGGTTAACATATATTTTCTTTTTCTTCAAAAATCCATTCTTCAAAAGCTTCTTAATAATTTTCGCAACTGTAAGTAAAAAATATAAGATTCGTAATTTTAACGAATTCCGTAAACTTCGCACTAAATGAATGAGTAAGGAAGGAAATGAATAAAGTCTTGCGACAAGAGATGAAACGGTGAAGAGAGACATAAAGTAACAAACTGTGTGTCACGTGTCAATAAAGGACTCGTGCTAATTACCACGAGACAGCCAATTTAGAATTGTCCCGCAACTTTGACGCGTGTTTAATCCAAACCCCAGTAAGTATGTCCTTTGTTCTTCGGGTGCACGTGATATAACGATGCAGGACGTGGCCAAATAGTTAAGGTAGCCATGCGTGTATCCGAAACAGGGATGCTGGCATTATTTGCACGCCACTGTTTCCAATCTAGGAAGCCTATAGAATTAGAATCAGCGACGTGCAAATTCCCAAAGTCCCTGAGATAATTCTACAGTTTGTTTGTTTACTTACAGCAATGAGATCGATGTGCAAAGTTATTATCGGAGGGTTGCTAAAGAAGGGGCTCTATGCTTCGATACTAATTTCTGCATTTAAAATATAAATAAAAGTGCCGGAATTCTTTTTAAGAAAGAGTGTACGGTGTCAGTAGTTTATTATCTAATAGGGAATTTAATTTTCAATCATTTTTATTTGATATTTGCAAAGAATATTATATTTTCTTAGAATATTGTAAGGGATATTCAAATTTTTTAGTACACGTTAAGTAACGAGCAGTGAAACGAGAAATATTAAATTTTGTTAGTACAAGCAGTATTTTTATTAAACTATCTATTAATAATATGTAACCTAGTGGATCTGATGTATGTACTTGGTGTACAAATACACTCTATTGTTTACAAATATATATATTAAGCTAAATTGTACAAAATAAAGACTTTAATTAGAAATTTGCAATTTGTTACCTAACCTAACCGAACCTAAACCATGTAAAATATTTATAAATCTTTATTTATGAATTGTAAACTAGTATGATTTATCACATTTATGAGTTTCAGTTATATATTTGCAAATTATGAGTCAACATGATCTCAACACACTATAAATTTGTAATAATTATGATTCATCAATAAATAAATAAAGTGAATAAATTATAAGTTATTAGTAACAGATCATTAATTATAAATTATTAATTAATATAGCACATTGTAGATCTGTGATTTTAATTATGCATTCTATCTGCAAATTGATCTATTGTAACACTACCTGATTTTTTAAAATTATTAATTGCAATTATAAATAGTAGAATTGTCAACCAATATGATTTTTATAAATCAGAAATATTAAATCTAAATTGATAAATTATAAAATGAGATTTTTATAAATTTCTGACAAATAATGACAAATTATCAATGTATATTAATTTTGTTTATCACACATTTTTGTAGTGCATTTTTGTATTTAGACAAAATAAGCTTCACCATATTGCTCCTTTAATACGTTACAAGTGATTAAAATAATGGACTGAAGACATTCAATTAACATTTCCCATGAACGTTACGGGACATTAAATCATCGATAGGGTACGTGACATTATAAGAAGGAATGGGAAGTGATAGTCTTACCCCTTTGAGGACGATGAACCCATATATGCGTTCGAAGACAATTACCATAGTAACCTGTAACAATACAAATAAAAAGAATTTTAGTCCAACCAAAAAATTGCCAACTTACAATATATGTTAAACATTTCAAGCACAATAGAAGCAAGCATATGAGTGAAGACATAGTAAAACATGAGTTAATTATCTGACTTAGTGCTTCAATTAGAAATTTATAATTTCTTCAAATTTACATCAGCAAAAATTTTAATATTCATAGGTGAACAGACATGTTTATGAAAAATATTTGATAAAATTAGAATATACTGTTATAAAGAAAAAATATAATATACTATTAATTTATACTAACAAAAACATTAAGCTTTGAGTATTGAATTCATATGAATCATATGTAGGATACGTCCTAGTATCTACTCACAGCTACAATAATTAATAAAATGAACAAAATTAAAATATGTATATTTTGTATTCAACAGACCTTAATTATGTACATTATAATTGAACGTAAGCATCAAATTGAAGTGTATTAAAAATTCGAGTTAGATTTATCACATTTACACTGTAAGTGCATTGCAAGGTGGACTCGTCAAAGACATTAACGATGACTTATTTAATTTAAATTTATTATACAGTTACTTTTATCCTCTTTATTTTTCAACTGTTACAAAAATCTACAAAAGAAAACTAATTCTAACTCAATGAAATATCCTGAATCCTTAACGTATCGGTCACAAATGAACAAACATTCGTGGTCTAATTAATGATTTACCATCGAGTACCGAAATATAAACACAAGCTTCGAGATTGTTTGAAATTGTTTATAAATTGATATCCAGGTAGGATTTTATCAAAGAGCATAGTGCAATCACTGAAGTCATCCTGAACACTCGGTAACGAACGAAGGAGGAAAACAGAGAGCACAGCCATTAAACTGTACACGGTATCGTTTCCTTTCCACTAAAGCTAACCGACACTTTGCTCGACCCTCTAATTAATCGATAGGATCTCGTAGGAAGCCGTCGGTATCCTCTATGGGACAGGCGGATGGGAGAAAGAAAAAAAAGAGACCGGAGCTCTTGGTGGTTACGATAAAGGAACGACAAGTTCCCGCATGCAAGCGCCACCGATTTCACCCGACCAAATATCTTTTCCTCGGTGGACAGACCGGTAATTTTAAAAGGAGGGACCAGTAAATAGGTACACCACTGTTCAAAAGTTCTTGTAATGCTTTCTTGTGAGGGAGGATAAGATTCGACGGAGAGTCGGCGACGCGCGGGTTTATACGTCTTAGACTTTGGATTATGGAAGACTCCCATCTGTTGATTTCCCAAATTGGCGAAATAGGGACAAGGGATTAGTTCCTTCTTAGGGATTAGACGCGATCCAATTCGACGCGATTCTATTCGATGCGAATCAATTCGATGCAATCTGACATGATCAGTTTCGATTCGACGTGATCCAATTCGATGAGCTTCGGTTTGACGCGATTCGGTACTGAACGATGCAATTCGATAGTTTTAGTCGATTTGAATAGTTTCGATGCGATTCATACTTGACGTGATTCGAATGGTCGAGTTTCAAATCGATTCGGTTTTACTCGATTCAATTCAATTCGGTTCTACTTGGTTCAATTCAATTCGGTCTTACTCGGTTCAATTCGATTCTGTTTTACTTGATTCAATTCGATTCGGTTTTACTCGATTCAATTCAATTCGGTTTTACTCGGTTCAATTCGATTCGGTTTTACTCGAATTCAATTGGATGAAATTTCACTCTGCGATTCAACAATATTAAATGAAGTGCAATTCGAGTTGAGTTTCAATTCCATGTGATTTAGATTGACAAGGCTCAATTCAATGCAATTGCACTCTACAGAATTCAATTCGACACGATTCAATTTAGGGCAATTTGAGTCAATATGATTTAATTTAACACAATTCAACTCGACACGATTTAATTCAGTAAGTGTCAGTTGAATATGATACAATTTTACTTGAATCAATTTCGTGTAATTTGACTTAATGTGTTTCAATTCAGTGCAGTTCAACTCAACGCGTTTCAATTCTATATGACTCCGTTCCGCGTAATTTGACTTAATGTAAATTAGGCACAATTTTATTCAACGCAACATTCAATTCGACTCGAGTCAATTAAACGCAATTCAATTCAACGAACTTACTTTAACTCATCAAAATGGGTCATTATTCAATTCAATTCAATTCAATGCAATTCAACAAACTCATCACGATTCATTCAAACACAACGAGTTTTAATTCGATCGGAAACAGTTCGATTTGACTCAATCAAATTTGTCATGAATTCTCAAACAATTTGTTTAAATAATTCTACTCAAAATGATTCAATTTGACTCGAGTCAATAAGATACAATGTAAATAAACGTAATTAATTTCGAGTCATCAGAATTCGTTATAATTTTATTTAACTCAATTCAATTCGAAACTATTCAATTTAACTGAACTCAATTTATCACAAATTGCCAAATAATTTATCTACGCAATTCGACTCGAAATGATTCAATTTGTCACAATTCAGTTTAACTCATCGGAATTAGTTATCATTCATTTAACTCAATTAAATGCAATGCAGTTCAACTAAATAATTGCAATTCCTTTAAACTCGACGTAACTTAATTTCATTGTAAACTGTTCAATTTGACTCAATCAAATTAGCCATAAATTCTCAAACAACTTGTTGAAGCAATTCCACTCGAAATGATTCAATTTGACTCGAGTTAATAAAATATAATATGATTAAATGCAGTTTATTTTAACTTAGCAGAATTCGTTATAATTCAATTTGACTCAGTTTAGTATGACACGGTTCAATTTAACTCAGTTCAATTTATCACAAACAGCCAAATAATTTATCTAGGCAATTGGACTCGAAATGAGTCAATTTGACTAGAGTCAATTTAAAGCAATTTATTTTAACTCGTCGGAATTAGATATGATTCAATTTGACTCAATTCGATTCGATGCAATTTAACTTATTAATTAAGTGATTCGACTCAAAGCGATTCAATTCAATTCGACCTCGTCAATTCAATACGACGTAACTCACTTCAATTCAATTCAACTCAATTCAACTGAACTCCAAACTTTTTATTCCATAAATTGCAGAGAGCAAATATCAATTTGCTCCAAGTTTGTCATTTCGAACCACTTTTCATAAAAATGTGTATCGATTTTAATCGTGTATGCCTCTTCACGATCCTCTATCCATTTCCCTACTCGATTTGCAATTTATAAATAACTAATAAAATACGAATAACAATATTGTCAAGTACAATTTACAACAGTCGTTGAATCATTCGATATTTCCTCGTCAAACGTACCACGTTTGATTACCACGCAAGATACCACTAGATTCCAGCTAAACTCCGAAGCCATTACGATCGGCTGAAAACGAATCAAGATTACAGCGCGACAAAGTGGATTCACTTTCCTTCAAAGCGTCGAAATCAATCGATGTTTCGTTTTCAATCGAAACAAGCACCGTCGAGAGGTTCAATATCGATACAATTCTAAACGAGGCACGACGAAACAACGAGTGTATATTACATAGACTTCGCGTGTAAACGTGGTTGCTTTTGAAAAGAAGATAATCGCTGGTCCCGCTTTCACACAGGCACGTTTAAATATTTATATTGATCTTAACCCATTTCCTCGGCAACGATGTTGCTGCAGAGTATTCCACGCGTCCGTTGGAGCGCAACCTATTTTCATTGAAAAGGACCGTTGCATTTTAAATTCCCCCACGGATCCATCAGCTTTTATAACTCGAGTAGAAAATTGTACTCTGCTCTCTGTACACGGCAAACAGGCCCATGTTTCTCGTATCGATGGACGCGTTTCTAAAGACGCATTTAAAACGGACCTGTATTCTTCGCAGCTTGAAAAATCTCGCCCCTTCGCTTCGATTCGGGGGAGAATTGCGCGGGTTATACAAACATTATTTACTCCACGATTTACAAAATTATTCAGCGGTACATTATACAAAATAATTGCAAAGTTCTTGAGAAAATATTGTTGAATTATTAAAGGAATATTTTCTAAATTCTTGAATAATTCATCAGCACATGCGAAAAATTTTATTTTATAAGAATAATATAGAACAGAATATTTTAAAAGAATATTCTTGTAAATTTTATATTTCTGTACTTTTACACGCATTTATATTTCACATTCTCATATTTTTATAAGAAATTTATTCTTCTACAAATTTATGATTTATAAGAAACTTATTTGAAAGTTTATATTTTGGTTATGTTTAATTTTATTTTTAATTTAACAATTTATTTTTAAATTATTTAATGATATTTACTGTGAAATTATTGAAAGATTATTTATTGAATTATTGTATGACTATCGTGAAATTACTGAAGAATTTACTGTTAAATTACTCAAAAATTATTTATTACCAATTTTTTGACTGATGACTTATTGCTAAATTTGTATGATCAGTTTTTGTTAAATTACTGAAATGTCATTTACTGCCACATTGTTGGAAGATTTATTACTAAATATAGAGAACCATTTATCGCATTCGACATTAAATTATTGGAAATTTGGATTTCCTTCTGTTGAATTATTGAAAGCATATTTATTACTAAATTATTGAAATATGATTTAATTTTGAAAATGACTTATTCTTGAATTATTGAATTATTTATTGCGGACATATTGAAAGATTATACACTATGTAATAACCGAACATATATAAATTAAATATTAGGACATTTAAGCAACCGCAGACTTTCAAATTTAATAATTTGAAAAATTTCAGAACTTTGAAATTAAAAATTATGAGAAATTAGAGAATTAGATCTTCAAATTCAAACATCAAAAATATTTGACAAATTTCTCAAATTTAAAAGACAACAGTCAAAACAAGTTCTGCAATACAAAATACTTAATCAAGACGCTTTGCAAACAAGATTAATTCCACCACTAATTAAATGATTAAATAGCAAAATTTCCGAAATTCCTATATTAATACGATCGAGTAAAATCTTCAAATAAACTCACATTCAGGCG